TCAGAGGCACTCACCTTGGTCAGTTCAGTGCAGATGGCGATCATTCGCTCTGTCTCCTTCACACGCCATGTTCCCACTGCAGAGATACAAAGGAGGAGATGGAATAGCAGGGACACGGAAAGAGGTAAGGAGGGGCAGTTAAGAAGATATAGTTTTCCTGCGACGTTCTTATGTGCGACGTGACCAACTCACTATCACGGATGGCAGTGGGGGCTTCCGCGAAAAGAGCCACGACAGGCAGTGTCTTCAAAACCGCATCCCACACCTGAGGAGCCTCAAAAGGCCTTACGACGCTTTGAAGGCCAGACCTTGCTTATGTGTGCTGTGACTAAAACGAGACCCACTCACCATCGCGGATGGCAGAGGGAAAAGAGTCACGAAAGGCAGTGTCTTTGAAACCGCATGCCACACCTGAGGAGCCTCAAAAGGCCTTAGCGAACGCCATACCTTGCTCATGTGCGATGTGCTTAAAATGAAAGTGAGACCCTCTCTCACTATCACGGATGGCAGTGGGGCCTTCGGCAAAGAGAGCCACAACAGCCAATGTAATGAGCTACCCATATTTGGCCCGCGTGTGATTACGGGGTGTCATGATCACGTGTCGTGCTCATGTGTCATGCCAAGGATGCGATGTGTCACTAAAATGAGACCCACTCACCATCACGGATGGCAGTGGGGCCTTCGGCAAAGAGAGCCACGACAGCCAATGTCATCGCGACATCTGGCATCTTGTTCATGTTCACGTCAATGCCCTTGAGCCGTCGGATGCTCCCATTGGCTGCCGGGGGAGGCCCCGTTACAGTCACACTCTCCTCCGCCCACGTCACTGTAGCTCCCATCTGCTCGAGCACTGATGCGAAATGCACATCACCCTGTAACGAGTACAGAAGAGGAGGTGGAGGAGTAAGGGAGAAAGGAAAGAAGGGTGGGCGTGGGAAGGGGGAAAGGAAAGCAGGGTGAGAGTGGGAGCGGGAAAGGAAAGAAGGGGTTGCTCTGACAGTGCCTCCAGGGATCCCTGCTCTTTCACACACCTCTGCCATCACACCTCTGCCATCACACCTCTGCCATCACGCAGAAAATTCCACCATCACAAAATGCTACAGGGAAAAGACTAGTCTTCTCCTCATGACTTTTGAGTCGACCCAAAAGTCACTTTGGGAAAAGACTAGTCTTCTGCTCATGACTACAGGCGCGAGTAGACTAGTTACAATCACACATACCTACACACTGCTCCAGCCACACCCATGCACAGCGACGGTATTTTTGAGTGGACTAAAAAATATGCAGGCTGCTCCAGCCACACCCATGCACAATGACGGTATTTTTGAGTGGACTAAAAAATATGCAGGCTGCTCCAGCCACACCCATGCACAATGACGGTATTTTTGAGTGGACTAAAAAATATGCAGGCTGCTCCAGCCACACCCATGCACAATGAAGGTGCCTCCAGCAATGGCCGCGGTTTCACGCGTCACTCACTCATTCTCACCTGCAGGCTGCTGCGACCACACCCATGCACAATGAAGGTGCCTCCAGCAATGGCCGCGGTTTCACGCGTCACTCACTCATTCTCACCTGCAGGCTGCTGCGACCACACCCATGCACAATGAAGGTGCCTCCAGCAATGGCCGCGGTTTCACGCGTCACTCACTCATTCTCACCTGCAGGCTGCTGCGACCACACCCATGCACAATGAAGGTGCCTCCAGCGATGGCCGCTGTTTCATGTCATGCACCACTGACAACACTTACACGTGCAATGAGTACAAAATGGTATCATAACATAGACCAGGTACAATCACCCTTCATACCTGCATAGGCTGCTGCGCCCACACCCATGCACGGTGACCGGACCTCCAGTGATGGCCGCTCGTTACCGGGATAACGCCATACAGCCACCACTCTTACCTGCAGGCTGCTCCTGCCGCACCCATCCACGGTGACGGTGCCTCCAGTAATGGCCGCGCCAGCAAGGAAGTAGCTGGCACTGGATGCATGCATTGCCCTCCACAAACTAGGATAGGCTATGCATATATGCTATCCGCGTTTCTCACCTGCAGGCTGCTCCTGCCGCACCCATGCACCGTGACAGTGCCTCCAGTGATGGCCGCGCCAGCAAGGCATGCATCGCCCTCCACAAACTAGGATAGGCCACGCATATATGCTATCCGCGTTCATACATACCTGCAGGCTGCTGCGGCCGCACCCATGCACCGTGACGGTCCCTCCAGTAATGGCCGCGCCAGCAAGGAAGTAGCTGGCACTGGAGGCATCCCCCTCCACAAAGGCACGACCGGGGGAGCTGGTAAGTAGGGGAAGTGGGGAAGTGGGAACACAGCAAGGGGGGAGTTGCAGGGGATCTGGGGCACAGGTAAGAGAGGCGAGGGAAAAAGCTGGCGCTGGACGCATCCCCCTCCACAAAAGCACGACCGGGGGAGCTGGAGAGGAGTGGAAAGAGAGGAGTGGTGGCAGGGGGGGGGGGGCAGGTAGGGAATGTTATGGGGGTGGCAGGTAGGGAATGTTATGGGGGTGGCAGGTAGGGAATGTTATGGAAGGGCGAGTGACGGGAGTAGCTGGCGCTGTATGCTCCCTCCACGAAAACACGTCCGGGGGTGCTCGAGAGGAAACGGCAGGGGCGTGGGTACGGGAAGATGTACGTCTGGTCCCCTGCGATGCCGAAGCGCTCCCAGTTGCCCTCAGTCTCCACATGCACCCCGAACCTCTCCATTAGGCGAAGCGTCATCTCCACATAGGGCACCGGCACCAGCTTGTTCCCCGTCTCACCCCTCTCCATCCCTCTCTCCCACTCCCAACCACACTTACATGTAAGTCTGGTTGCCTGTAATGCCAAACCACTCCCAGTTGCCCTCGGTCTCCACATCCACACCAAACCTCTCCATGAGGTGAAGCGTCATTTCCACATAGGCCACGGACACGAGCTTGCTTGCTGTCTCCTCACCCTTCCCCTCTCCCTCCCTCCCCTCCCCACTCACATGTACGTCTGGTTCCCTGAGATGCCAAACCGCTCCCAGTTGCCCTCCGTCTCAACGTGCACCCCGAACCTCTCCATCAGACGGAGGGTCATCTCCACATAGGGCACGGACACCAGCTTGTCGATCATCTCAATAGAGCTGTCACCCTTGGCCAATGGAAGCGACATGAGCAGCGCTGTGAGGTACTGGCTGCTCACCGCCCCTGACAGCTTCACCTGGGGGAGGTGGTGGAGGGCGGGGGAATGCGGAAGGATGGGAGAGAGGAAGAAGAGGTCGAGGAAGAAGGTAAGGGGAGTGCAGCAGCAGGAAGAGAGGGAGTCATTTCCACACCGCATTTATCCAGCCCTTAACCTCACCGCCAGATTCATAACCAATCTTGCCAACGTCCAGGACCATAGACTAAGTTGATTCCACATACATCAAACTTACCGAACCGTTTTTGGTCGTTAGAAAGTCTGAGATTTTGAGTTCGGTGCTACACCAACCTCTTGCACCCCCCTCTAGGTACTCACCGTGCCGCCAGGGAGGCCCCCCTTTGCTGCCACGCGCAAAGGCGGGCAGTTGGTGCCCAGAGAGCACTCGCAATCGCACCCCAGCTGCTGCTGCTGCTGCTGCTGCTGCTGCTGCTGCTGCTGCTGCTGCTGCTGCTGCTGCTGCTGCTGCTGCTGCTGCTGCTGCTGCTGAGCTGCCAATTCACCCATCTCTAGGAACCCTTATCACTACTACATCCCAGGCACTTACTGTGCCGCCAGGGAGGCCCCCCTTTGCTGCCACGCGCACAGGCGGGCAGTTGGTGCCGAGGGAGCACTCGCAGTCGCACCCCAGCTGCTGCAGCCCCGCCACCAGATCGCCTATCGGTCGCTCACGCATCCTGGGGACTCCATCCAACACATAGCTGGTGGGGAGGGTGGGTGGGCAGTGCAGAGCGGTGGCAGGGCGTTGGGAGAGATAAAGGAAGGTTATTGGTGCCCAGGGAGCACTCGCAATTGCACCCCAGCTGCTGCAGCCTCGCCACCAGGTCGCCTAAGGGGCGCTTCCGCACCTCATCTTTTCCCAAAAAACGTACCTCTTGTTGCCGCCAGCCACGGCCACAGCAGCAGTGAGCGGGCGCATGGCGATCCCCGCGTTCCCCAGACCACCTCCGCCCTCTCCCCCTCTTTCCCCTCTTTCCCCCTAAAGGTCTCACCTCTTATTCCCTCCAGCCATGGCAACAGCAGCAGTGAGCGGGCGCATGGCGGTCCCCGCGTTCCCCAGAAACAGATCCACCCCTCCCCACCCTCTTTCCACCCCTCCGTGCCCTCTTTCCCCAATTCCCCCTAAAGGACGCACCTTTTGTTCCCTCCTGCGACGGCCACGGCAGCAGTGAGCGGGCGCATGGCGGTCCCTGCGTTCCCCAGAAACAGATCCACCGTTTCCGCCCCCTCCCCCTCCTCCTCCCTGCCCACGGGGAACACCCCTGCGCTGCCGGTTACTATCACCCTCCGCTTCTCAGGCATCTCCACGAGAGGCACTCCCAGAGAGCGCAGGGCAGCGAGCATGTAGGTGACATCATCGCTCGCCAGCAGATTGTCCACCACCGTCTCGCCCTGAGTGAGAGAGAGGGGGTGCGGGCGAGGGGAACAGGGGTGATTAGGGTATGCCTCATCTCCACGAGAGGCACTCCCAGGGAGCGCAGGGCAGCGAGCATGTAGGTGACGTCGTCACCGGCGAACAAACTGTCCACCACCGTCTCGCCCTGATGGGAGGCGAGGGGAGGTGGGTTCGGGGGGAAGAGGTGGAGGCGACGGGGGAAGAGGGGTGTTTGGGTGATAGGAAGGGCATGAGGGTGTTACGCACGCATCTCCACCAGAGGGCAAGGGGATGAGGCACTTGCTGACCCGCCTCCTTCTAGCATACCTTGGCAAGAGCAGCGAGCAGCAGAAGGCGGTTGGAAAGGGACTTGGAGCCAGGCAGGTTGACGGTGCCGCTCATCCGACTTACTGTCTATGATAGGTCGAGCGCGCGGTCGATGTCGCCGCAGTTCACGCACGCCGCCATGGCCGGCGCCATGGCAAGAGCGGCGAGCAGCAGAAGGCAGTTGGAGAGCGACTTGGAGCCAGGCAGGCTGACGGTGCCGTGGAGTCAAATCGAAGGAAACAAGGAGACGGAACAGCGGGATACACCCCATAGCTGTACCTTGGCAAGGTCACCCTTTTGCTACCTTACCTTGGCGAGAGCGGCGAGCAGCAGGAGGCGGTTGGAGAGGGACTTGGAGCCGGGCAGGTTGACGGTGCCGCTGATCTGAGCGACCCTCTACCACCTGACTTTGGCAACAGCGCCCTTTCAGCCCACCTTGGCAAGGGCAGCAAGCAGCAGCAGGCGGTTGGAGAGGGACTTGGAGCCGGGCAGGTTGACGGTGCCGCTGATCTGAGCGACCCTCTACCACCTAACTTTGGCAACAGCGCCCTTTCAGCCCACCTTGGCAAGGGCAGCAAGCAGCAGCAGGCGGTTGGAGAGGGACTTGGAGCCGGGCAGGTTGACGGTGCCGCTGATCTGAGCGACCCTCTACCACCTGACTTTGGCAACAGCGCCCTTTCAGCCCACCTTGGCAAGGGCAGCAAGCAGCAGCAGGCGGTTGGAGAGGGACTTGGAGCCGGGCAGGTTGACGGTGCCGCTGATCTGAGCGACCCTCTACCACCTGACTTTGGCAACAGCGCCCTTTCAGCCCACCTTGGCAAGGGCAGCAAGCAGCAGCAGGCGGTTGGAGAGGGACTTGGAGCCGGGCAGGTTGACGGTGCCGCTGATCTGAGCGACCCTCTACCACCTGACTTTGGCAACAGCGCCCTTTCAGCCCACCTTGGCAAGGGCAGCAAGCAGCAGCAGGCGGTTGGAGAGGGACTTGGAGCCGGGCAGGTTGACGGTGCCGCTGATCTGAGCGACCCTCTACCACCTGACTTTGGCAACAGCGCCCTTTCAGCCCACCTTGGCAAGGGCAGCAAGCAGCAGCAGGCGGTTGGAGAGGGACTTGGAGCCGGGCAGGTTGACGGTGCCGCTGATCTGAGCGACCCTCTACCACCTGACTTTGGCAACAGCGCCCTTTCAGCCCACCTTGGCAAGGGCAGCAAGCAGCAGCAGGCGGTTGGAGAGGGACTTGGAGCCGGGCAGGTTGACGGTGCCGCTGATCTGAGCGACCCTCTACCACCTGACTTTGGCAACAGCGCCCTTTCAGCCCACCTTGGCAAGGGCAGCAAGCAGCAGCAGGCGGTTGGAGAGGGACTTGGAGCCGGGCAGGTTGACGGTGCCGCTGATCTGAGCGACCCTCTACCACCTAACTTTGGCAACAGCGCCCTTTCAGCCCACCTTGGCAAGGGCAGCAAGCAGCAGCAGGCGGTTGGAGAGGGACTTGGAGCCGGGCAGGTTGACGGTGCCGCTGATCTGAGCGACCCTCTACCACCTGACTTTGGCAACAGCGCCCTTTCAGCCCACCTTGGCAAGGGCAGCAAGCAGCAGGAGGCGGTTGGAGAGGGACTTGGAGCCGGGCAGGTTGACGGTGCCGCTGATCTGAGCGACCCTCTACCACCTGACTTTGGCAACAGCGCCCTTTCAGCCCACCTTGGCAAGGGCAGCAAGCAGCAGCAGGCGGTTGGAGAGGGACTTGGAGCCGGGCAGGTTGACGGTGCCGCTGATCTGAGCGACCCTCTACCACCTGACTTTGGCAACAGCGCCCTTTCAGCCCACCTTGGCAAGGGCAGCAAGCAGCAGCAGGCGGTTGGAGAGGGACTTGGAGCCGGGCAGGTTGACGGTGCCGCTGATCTGAGCGACCCTCTACCACCTGACTTTGGCAACAGCGCCCTTTCAGCCCACCTTGGCAAGGGCAGCAAGCAGCAGCAGGCGGTTGGAGAGGGACTTGGAGCCGGGCAGGTTGACGGTGCCGCTGATCTGAGCGACCCTCTACCACCTGACTTTGGCAACAGCGCCCTTTCAGCCCACCTTGGCAAGGGCAGCAAGCAGCAGGAGGCGGTTGGAGAGGGACTTGGAGCCGGGCAGGTTGACGGTGCCACTGATCTGAGCGACCCTCTACCACCTGACTTTGGCAACAGCGCCCTTTCAGCCCACCTTGGCAAGGGCAGCAAGCAGCAGCAGGCGGTTGGAGAGGGACTTGGAGCCGGGCAGGTTGACGGTGCCGCTGATCTGAGCGACCCTCTACCACCTGACTTTGGCAACAGCGCCCTTTCAGCCCACCTTGGCAAGGGCAGCAAGCAGCAGCAGGCGGTTGGAGAGGGACTTGGAGCCGGGCAGGTTGACGGTGCCGCTGATCTGAGCGACCCTCTACCACCTGACTTTGGCAACAGCGCCCTTTCAGCCCACCTTGGCAAGGGCAGCAAGCAGCAGCAGGCGGTTGGAGAGGGACTTGGAGCCGGGCAGGTTGACGGTGCCGCTGATCTGAGCGACCCTCTACCACCTGACTTTGGCAACAGCGCCCTTTCAGCCCACCTTGGCAAGGGCAGCAAGCAGCAGCAGGCGGTTGGAGAGGGACTTGGAGCCGGGCAGGTTGACGGTGCCGCTGATCTGAGCGACCCTCTACCACCTGACTTTGGCAACAGCGCCCTTTCAGCCCACCTTGGCAAGGGCAGCAAGCAGCAGCAGGCGGTTGGAGAGGGACTTGGAGCCGGGCAGGTTGACGGTGCCGCTGATCTGAGCGACCCTCTACCACCTGACTTTGGCAACAGCGCCCTTTCAGCCCACCTTGGCAAGGGCAGCAAGCAGCAGCAGGCGGTTGGAGAGGGACTTGGAGCCGGGCAGGTTGACGGTGCCGCTGATCTGAGCGACCCTCTACCACCTGACTTTGGCAACAGCGCCCTTTCAGCCCACCTTGGCAAGGGCAGCAAGCAGCAGCAGGCGGTTGGAGAGGGACTTGGAGCCGGGCAGGTTGACGGTGCCGCTGATCTGAGCGATGGGCTCCAGCTTCAAGCTCTCCACCGCCTCTGCCGTGTGCGCCGCTGCTGCCACCGGGGGGCGCGCTGAAGCTGCTGCGATCACTGGAGGGAGGGATGGGGAAAGACACGAAATGAACGGCACATTGGGGAGGGGAATGGGGAAAGGGTGGGCCAATGGGCTCCAGCTTCAAGTCAAGCTCTCCACCGCCTCTGCTGTGTGCGCCGCTGCGGCCACCGGCTCACGGGCGACTGCTGCTACAATCACTGCTGGGAGGTCAGGCAGTGGGAGGAGAAGCACACATTCGAATGGCAATCTGCTGTGGAAGACAGGCTGCGATGGGCTCCAGCTTCAAGCTCTCCACCTCCTCTGCCGTGTGCGCCGCTGCCACCACTGGAGGGATGGGGAGAAGGGACATGTAGTGAGCGGGAAAGCGATGTGTAGTGAGCGGCGGGATGGGGATGGGCTCCAGCTTCAAGCTCTCCACCGCCTCTGCCGTGTGCGCCGCTGCTGCCACCGGGGGTCGACATGCTGCTGCTGCTGCTGCTGCTGCTGTGACCGCTGTTGCGGAGAACAGACGCGGGAGGGGGGAAGCAGGTTTGTTGTGAAGTTAGTTTCCTCGCCGCCTCTGCAGCCATGTGTGCTGCTGCTGCTGCTGCTGCTGCTGCTGCTGCTGCTGCTGCTGCTGCTGCTGCTGCTGCTGCTGCTGCTGCTGCTGCTGCTGCTGCTGCTGCTGCTGCTGCGGCTGCGGGGTGACAGGCAGCTGGCAGCTGCTGCTACTGCTGGAAGACACTGGCGGTAAATGAAGACTAGACGGGCGTATCACACACACAGGGACGAGCGGTGAAGCAGCAACGGATGCTGCTGACTGACAGTTGGCGGGTCAGAGGGAAGCGCGGTGAAGCAGGAACGGATGCTACGCTGCTGACAGCTGGCGGGTGTTGGAGACGCAACGGCAGAGAGCCAGAGACGAAACCCGAGGAGACGTTCTCCTTTTGAGGCGCCTCAAAGGCAGATCAACGGAAGCTTTGAAGATGGAATAGCAGAGACGAAAGCCGATGGGACGTTCTGATTTCGGCGACGGATTACTCTGTACGCAATGGCGAATCCTGCGAGCCAGCGCTGCTGCACGCTGGGGTTTAGCGACTGGGAACGCTGCAGTGAAACCGCGGCATAACCGCTGGCCTTACAACGCCGGGGAGACCAAGAACTCGCACTTACCAGAGGACCTTGTAAGATGCACTCACCGGAGCGAGCTGCGGATTTCCTGAGCTGGACGCGCAGAGCTGCGAGCTCCTTCCGCTGACCGCGCGACAGGAAGCTGAGTGCGACACACGTAAACACGCAGAATGAGATATTTCAGTTATCACCTCATTGATAAATAAACGGGTCAAGAAACGGTCGTCTAACACCGGCAGCTGGTTCTTAATTGTCGTACCGCGTCTGGAGGTTGACGCTTTTCCGTCCATTTAACTCGACCGTCACGTTTTTTATTAGCTGCCGGCAGCTAACGGAGATGTTCTCAGCGACTGCAGCCGCCATTGTGGGCGGAATTGGTCTGTTAGGTTGATCGCGCGGCACGGGAGGATGAAAGTGCTGTGTGCGGTGGCGCAGGTGCTATCAACGGCGGCGATTCGCCTGTTGAAAGATAAGGAGGATCAAGTCCTCAAAATGGCTCCTCACGATAGAGTGTCCAGGATGTAAGGAGATGGAGCCTCGCTTTCCCTTCGTCATCAGATGTGGTTCAAGTTGGGTTCTCGGTACGAGACGTTTCTCGCTAATTACCGATTGGAAACGCATAAATACGAACAAAACCGATGTGGTTCAAGTTGGGTTCTCGGTAAGAGACGTTTCTCGCTAATTACCGATTGGAAACGCATAAATACGAACAAAACCGTTGTATATTTCTTCAACACCACCCCCGTCCGAAGACCACGTGGAAAACGGGATAGGGCGAGAATTCATGCGCTTATATAATCACAAATCAGCTTCAAAATGCAGCATTTGCAGGACATATCTGGCCCACAGCGAAGTTATTGCAGTTTTTGTGCCGTCCTTGTGTTTTGGCAGATGAGTTGTGACAGAAGAGAATGTGAAGCCGAAAGTGCCGCCACGTAAGATCCTTCAGAACCAGCTGGACAGTTGTCCCCGCTGAAGTGCTCCCCAATATCAAAACCATCCTCCAGTTCCCTAATTCTTGACACGGATTTCCATTCATTGCTTACACTGTTCTGATGCCTGCCGAAGCTTCCAGGATCAGCAAGCTAGGCACGGCACAGCAGGGTTCCATGGAGATTAGGGCGTGCGGTTCGTAATCGACTCTTAGGGCCTGTTAGTCACGTCTACCACGTTGGACGTCCTACGTTATACATACCGTACTGTTCTTTTTCCTCTCTTTACATCACCTCTCGAAATCGCCATGGACATAGTATCACAGCTCCAAGACCACACCAACCACATCGCCTTCCTCCTTTTCAACACCGTTGGCACGCTTCAACGAGATGCCACTCCGTCAACCATTCCTGGTAAACCTCTACCCGCGCCAACCACACCAGCTGCACCTGGAAACGGTCAGCTGGTTACAGCCACCGGAGCAGGGAACACAGGTGCCGCCATACCAACAGCTGCTTCGACGGGGCCAGGCGCAGTAGCTAATGGAGCCGCAGCCCCTAACGGAGCCGTTGGGCCTAGTGCTGAAGGAACAGCCGCAGGAGGAACTGACACATCGGTAACTGCGGCACCAGCATTTCCTGTGATAGAGCAGGTTCCTGAGATGGCATCAGCCTTGGTTCAGGCGTTGAAGCTGTTTGACATGCTTGTGGATGCGTTACCTCCTGACATTGACTTGACAGAAGAGGAGCAGCTTCAACGTATAGCAGAGCTGAATGCTGAGAATGAAGCAGTCGCAAGGGAGATGGCAGCAGAGTTGAACGGGGTGGAGGAGGATCTGGCAGAGGTTAGAGGGCTGTTTAGGAGGGTAGTTGATGACTGTCTGCAGAATCCATGAACAAAATAATATACAACTGCCTTGCTTATCAATGCATCTATTCTTTCTTGCACGTTTATGTCTCATGCTCAGATCGGACTCCTTGCTTGGTGTGGCGGTTAAATGCTGATTCACGCCGTATTAAGCGCTGGTCTGTTCTTAAGGAAAGGTGAACTAATGTTAGCGATGCGTATAAGAGGCTGCATTTATGACGGAAGTGTCAGAGGCAAGACAATATCTTCAGGAGCTGACCGTGGAGTTTGGACGTCCTTCTGGAATCCCTACTACGGTTGTCATTTTCTAACTTGCTATTTTCACCACGCATTCTTATTTTCGGCGATCGAAGAGCAACGAATAAATGCAGATCAGTTTCCCGTGTATATCTTAACAATAGTACCACCTAAACAAAACGGGAAGTGTGAAGGCAGCTCAATTACTCAGAGGCCATACAGAGTAGACATTTACTAGCCGCTGTACATTTAGACCTCAACGACCTCATCCACAGAGAAGTTGTTTGTGGACACGCCGGCGTAGTTCACCTTCTCGAATCTCACGACAACGGGGTAGCGGATGCCGCTCTGCATTGCACATAAGATTGGGAGAGGAAAGTGAGCAAGCTGGGGAGGACACAAACTACGCCAAAGCGATCTGACCGATGCAACTCTACCTAACGCGACAGTAAGTAACGTCCGCTCACCTGGTCAACGGAAACGACCTTGCCGGTGTCATTGAACCAGTACGACTCGGGCCTGAGGACCTTTACGGTGGCACCGCGCTTGGGGCCAATGGGAGCAGCGGCAGCGGCCTTCTCCTCGGCACGGACGGTCAACCTCACAACACGGGAGGTAGAGACCTTGCTGCTGACAGCCACCTTCAGGGGTGCTGCGGCAGCAACGGAGCTGAGAGAGGAGGCGAGGGCAGCCATTGAGCTGTGAGGAGGTGGACGAGGTAGCTGAGTTGAGCTGAAGAGATCGAAAAGGAGAATGCTACCAGGCGTCAAACTGGAGAGAGGCGGTCCACTATCTTTTGGATGGACGATGCAGGCACGAGAACGTTGGACTCTGGTCCCCTCTGATTGAACCCTGGAGTTGCTCGCCTTATCCCCAACTTTCCACTCAGCGGCACCGGATTGGCTAACGAGGATTTTGGGGCCTAGGGAACAACCGCAATATCAGCGGCTGATTTGTTTTCGCTCCGCAATGCAACGATTTCGACGGGGCGAGAGGTTTCGGGAAACGGCTGCGACAAATCTGAACGAAAATATCCTTTCGCAAGAAGCAATAGCCTCGTATAGCTACAGCAAAACAAGTGATTTTGCTATATTCATAGCATGAAGCACCAACTAACTCCCACATCAACCTAGAAGTTATTAAAACATCTAATCATATTAGCAAAAATTGCAAACAAAATCTCGTAAGTTTACTATCCTTCTTACAGATATACATGCATAATGGATGTCGATTTATGCGTCAGAGCATTCCTTTCATATTGGCTTTTAATTTCAATACTTTTAGTGTGTTGGTATACATGTATATGTTTCTTTTTTCGAAATATGCAAGTATTCTTATCGGGTCGTCAATCACCACTCTGTGCACCAAGGTCCCGCCTCCGCCTGGCAGTCGTTGCGATCGTTATTATTAGAATACATAGGCAAGAGTGATTGTATTAGGTAAAGGTGGGTACAAGACTAGAATGTCGAGGGAAATTGTGTACCCCCTAAAGCTAGCCCCAATACAGCCTAACTAAACAATAAGTATATAGTTTGACACACCCCCATAGGCGAAATAGGGGATAGCCAGAGCAAGGACAATGGTCATAAGACCAGTCAAGAGAAGAAACAAAGCACAGCTCAGGGTGGATCACAAAGTCACCACACACTCTGAGCACAAGCAAGAGGCCACAAGGCCAGTTCACATGCAGAGTTATAAAAGCACAAGCAATACAGTAATCACAACCTAGCAGGTGTAAGCATGCAGTTATATATATAGATCACAGTACAGGTAAAGCCTACAGTATGTGAGGAAACGTAGGCACAAGGCCCAACAAGGTACAAAAGCGCTGATGATCACCAGGCGGAAGTGCCTTGGTGAAAATATCAGCAGTG